CAATAATAAAAATGATAACACATTAATCCTATTGATTTCAGCGCACGGAAGCCAATATTGCAATAGTTCCTTTCATCGACAATGATAACAATATTATGATACCATTAGATAATTACTGATTGGCGAATGAGCGGTAATGCAAAATAGGATAATTCAAGTATGATTATAGGCAAAACAGGGGAGAGGGGAAAGGGGGGATGAAGGGAAGGAGGAATAGAGAGGAAAGAGGGGATAGGAGGTAAATGAAGGGAAAGAAGCAGGGAAAGGAGAGAATGGAGAATGATGGAATTAGACGTGAGCGAAGGATAATAATAGTAATAACCCACAATAATAATAATAACCCACAATCAGAAGGAGAGAGAAGAACGAATGGGAGAGAGAGAGGGGAGAGAAGAAGAGAGAGGAGAGAGAAGAAGGAAAGGGAAGAAGAAGGGATAGAGAAGAGAGGAAAGGGAGAGAAGAGGAGAGAAGAAGGAAAGGGAGAGAAAGAGGATAGAGAAGAAGGAAAGGGAGAGAAAGAGGATAGAGAAGAAGGAAGGAGAGAAAGAGGAAGAGAAGAAGGAAAGAGAGGGAGAGAGAGAGGAAGGTGAGAGGGAAGTGAGAGAGGAGAGGAGAGGCGAGAGGAGAAATGGAGGAGAGAAGAGAGAGGAGACGAGAGACGAGAGAAAAGAAGAAAGAGAGAAGTGAGAGGAAAGGAGAGAAGAGAGAAGAGACGAAAGAGGAGAAGAGGAAAAAAAAGAGAGAAAAGGGAGGAGAAAAGAAACGAGAGAGGAGACAAAAGAAGCGAGGCAAGAAGAAAGAGAGAAGCTAGAAGAGAGAGAAGAAAGAAAGAAAAAAAAAGGAAAAGAGAGAGAATAGGGAAAGGAATAAGCGAGTGATAAAAAGAAGACTGAAAGAAAAGAGGGGAGATGAAAGACTTACGATTGGTTCCTTGGCTTTATCGCATTTTCCTCTTTCTTGACCGGATTATGAGATTATGAGTGGTCGGTAACGATGTGGGAATAAAAGAGAGAAATGCGCTGGCGTCGAGATAATGGCTGAGACTGTACCTGTGTGCAGACTTCAGACTTAACGCACACACACACACACACACATAAACGCACACACACGCGCACACATATAAACACACAACACACACACGCGCACACATATAAACACACACACAGAGAGAAAGAGAGAGAGAAAGAGAGAGAGAGAGAGAGAGAGAGAGAGAGAGAGAGAGAGAGAGAGAGAGAGAGAGAGAGAGAGAGAGAGAGAGAGAGAGAGAGAGAGAGAGAGAGAGAGAGAACGAGAGAGAGAGAGAGAGAGCAAGAACAGAATAGAGAGGAGAGAGAGAGAGAGAGAGAGGAGAGAGAGAGAGAGAGAGAGAGAGAGAGAGAGAGAGAGAGAGAGAGAGAGAGAGAGAGAGAGAGAGAGAGAACAGAATAGAGAGAGAGAGAGAGAGAGAAAGAGAGAGAGAGAGAGAGAGAGAGAGAGAGAGAGAGAGAGAGAGAGAGAGAGAGAGAGAGAGAGAGAGAAACACGGCCATCATACATATTCATACAATCTACATCCGAATTCACTTGTACAGGCGCCCACACGCTCGCTCTACGGACGCACAAAGCATAAGATCACAATGCTTGTTGATCCATCTGCCCGTAGCAGGTGATGTCAGCCTCCAAGACAGAGCCGGAGGGAAGATGGAAGAGAGAGGGAAGAGAAGTGTGGAGAACGGAACCAAAGGAAGCGAGAGGAGAAAGGAGTATGGTGAAAGAAGGAAAGGAAGAGAGGAGAGAGAGAGAGAGGGGAGAGACTAGAACGAATGGGAGAGAGAGTAGAGAGAGAAGAAGGAATGGAGAGAGAGAGGGGAGAGAGAAGAATAGAGAGGGGGGGAGAAAGAACGAATGAGAGAGAGAGAGGAGAGAGGAGATAGAAGAAGAAATGGAAGAGAGAGTGGAGAGAGAAGGAATAGGAGAGAGAAAGGAGAGAGAAGAAGGAGAAGGAGAGAGAGAGGAGAGAGAAGGAATAGAAGAGAGAGAGGAGAGAGAAGAAGGAGAGAGAAAGAAAGAGAGAAGGAATGGGAGAAAGAGAGAGAGAGGCATAGGAACGGGAATGAGAGAGGAGAGATAAGAAGGGAAGAGGAGAAAGAGGAGTGAAAAGAAGGAAAGGGAGAAAGAGAGGAGAGAGAAAGCGAAGAGAGAGGAGAGGGGAGAGATACGACCGGCTTCCGAGACGGTGACAGCAGATGGATCATAAATCTATTCACAGAATCCACATAGAGCACCTCCTCCCCCTCCCCCTTGCACCCTTCCCACAACACCCCCACTCCCTCCCTCTTTCACCCTTTCGAGAGCACCCTCTCCCCCTCCCCCTTTCACCCTTCCCACAACACCCCCACTCCCTCCTCTTTCACCCTTTCGAGAGCACCTCCCCTCCCCTTTCACCCCTTCCCACAACACCCCCACTCCCTCCCTCTTTCACCCTTCGAGAGCACCTCTCCCCCTCTTTCACCCTTCTCCCT